ATTTCTTTTAGATATTTATTTTTCAAAAGCAATATGTAAAAAGGTATTTGATTTTCATTATTTTTGAATTAATATCAGATCCTTTGGAAATTAATAATTCAATAATTTGATTTGGATATTTATTTTTTAAGGCAATATGTAAAGGTATTTCATTTTGATTATTTTTGGAATTAATATCAGATCCTTTAGAAATTAATAATTCAATAATTTGATTTGGATATTTATTTTTCAATGCAAAATGTAAAGGTATTTCATTTCCATCTATTTTTAAATTAATATCAGATCCTTTGGAAATTAATAATTCAATAATTTCTTTTGGATATTTATTTTTTAAAACAAAATGTAAAGGTATTTCATTTTGATTATTTTTGGAATTAATATCAGATCCTTTGGAAATTAATAATTCAATAATTTGATTTGGATATTTATTTTTTAAAACAAAATGTAAAGGTATTTCATTTTGATTATTTTTGGAATTAATATCAGATCCTTTGGAAATTAATAATTTGATAATTTGATTTGGATTTTTATTTTTCAAAGCAATATGTAAAGGTATTTCATCTTGATTATTTTTGGAATTAAGATTAGATCCTTTGTAAATTAATAATTCAATAATTTGATTTGAATATTTATTTTGTAAAGCAATATGTAAAGGTGTTTCATTTTGATTATTTTTGGAATTAATATCAGATCCTTTGGAAATTAATAATTCAATAATTTGATTTGGATATTTATTTTGTAAAGCAATATGTAAAGGTGTTTCATCTTGATTATTTTTGGAATTAATATCAGATCCTTTAGAAATTAATAATTCAATAATTTCATTTGAATATTTATTTTGTAAAGCAATATGTAAAAGGTATTTCATTTTGATTATTTTTGAATTAATATCAGATCCTTTGGAAATTAATAATTTAGTAATTTCATTTGGATTTTTATTTTGTAAAGCAATATGTAAAGGTGTTTTATTCCGTTTATTTTTGGAATTAATATCAGATCCTTTGGAAATTAATAATTTGATAATTTGATTTGGATATTTATTTTATAAAGCAATATGTAAAGGTATTTCATTTTGATTATTTTTGGAATTAATATCAGATCCTTTGGAAATTAATAATTTAATAATTTGATTTGGATTTTTATTTTGTAAAGCAATGTGTAAAGGTATTTCGTTCCAATAGTTTTTTGAATTAAGATTAGAATCTTTGGAAATTAATAATTTAATAATTTGATTTGAATATTTATTTTGTAAAGCAATATGTAAAGGTATTTCATTTTGATTATTTTTGGAATTAATATCAACTCCTTTGGAAATTAATAATTTGATAATTTCATTTGGATTTTTATTTTGTAAAGCAATATGTAAAGGTGTTTCATTTTGATTATTTTTGGAATTAATATCAGATTCTTTGGAAATTAATAATTTGATAATTTCATTTGAACATTTATTTTGTAAAGCAATATGTAAAGGTATTTCATTTTGATTATTTTTGGAATTAATATCAGATCCTTTGGAAATTAATAATTCAATAATTTCATTTGAATTTTTATTTTGTAAAGCAATGTGTAAAGGTATTTCGTTCCAATAGTTTTTTGAATTAAGATTAGAATCTTTGGAAATTAATAATTTAATAATTTGATTTGGATATTTATTTTGTAAAGCAATATGTAAAGGTGTTTCATTTTGATTATTTTTGGAATTAATATCAACTCCTTTAGAAATTAATAATTTAATAATTTCATTTGAATATTGATTTTGTAAAGCAATATGTAAAGGCATTTCATTTTGATTATTTTTGGAATTAAGATCAGATCCTTTGGAAATTAATAATTCAATAATTTCATTTGAATATTTATTTTTTAAAGCAATATGTAAAGGTGTTTCATTTTGATTATTTTTGGAATTAATATCAGATTCTTTGGAAATTAATAATTCAATAATTTGATTTGAATATTTATTTTTTAAAGCAATATGTAAAGGTATTTCATTTTGATTATTTTTGGAATTAATATCAACTCCTTTAGAAATTAATAATTTAATAATTTCATTTGAATATTTATTTTGTAAAGCAATATGTAAAGGTAATTCATTTTGATTATTTTTGGGATTAATATTAGATTCTTTGGAAATTAATAATTCAATAATTTGATTTGGATATTTATTTTGTAAAGCAATATGTAAAGGTATTTCATTCCATCTATGCATTAAATTAATATTAGATCCTTTGGAAATTAATAATTCAATAATTTGATTTGAATATTTATTTTGTAAAGCAATATCTAAAGGTATTTCATTTTGATTATTTTTGGAATTAATATCAGATTCTTTGGAAATTAATAATTCAATAATTTCATTTGGATTTTTATTTTGTAAAGCAATATGTAAAGGTGTTTTATTCCATCTATTTTTTGAATTAATATTAGATCCTTTAGAAATTAATAATTCAATAATTTCATTTGAATATTGATTTTTCAAAGCAATATGTAAAGATGTTTCATTTTTATTATTTTTGGAATTAAGATTAGCTCCTTTGTAAATTAATAATTCAATAATTTCATTTGAATATTTATTTTTCAATGCAAAATGTAAAGGTGTTTCATTTTGATAATTTTTTGAATTAAGATTAGCTCCTTTGGAAATTAATAATTCAATAATTTCATTTGAATATTGATTTTCCAATGCAAAATGTAAAGGTATTTCATTTTTATTATTTTTGGAATTAATATTAGATCCTTTGGAAATTAATAATTCAATAATTTCTTTTGAATATTTATATTGTAAAGCAATATCTAAAGGTGTTTTATTCCATTTATTTTTGGAATTAAGATCAGCTCCTTTAGAAATTAATAATTCAATAATTTCTTTTGAATTTTGATATTGTAAAGCAATATGTAAAGGTGTATTTTTATAATAATCAACACAATTTAGGTTTGTTCCTTTTTCAATAATTTTTTGAATAATTTCATTTGATGAATTGTTTTTTAGAGCATAAAATATAAAAGATTCATTTTCTTTTTCAATTTTTTTTGAGCCTCTTAAAGTTGGAATTGAATCAAAAAATTTAAGATTATTTGTTTTAATTGCTTTATAAACTTTATTTAATTTTTTTTTTGAATTCATTATTTAAAAAATTATTTTTAAACAAATTTAAAAGAAATAAAAGAAAGAAAAGAAAAAAATGGAAAAAATTTTATTCTTTTTTTTTTCTTTTAAATCAATAAAATAAAAATGAATGACATCATTCAATTTAAATTAATTTTAATTAAAAAAAATAAATTAAAAAATGAGTGACATAATCCAATTTTTTATTTTATTTTATTCTTTTTTTTTTGATCAAATTCCACTTTTTATTTTTTATTTAAACAAAAAAAAGGAAAAAAAAATTTGAGAAAAGAAATAACAATAAATTTATAATTTAAAAATAAATTATAAATAAATTATAATTAATTTCCATTTTAAATTATGAAATAAAATAAATCAAAATATTTAATAAATAAAATATAGAAATTGGAATAATAAATATTGAGATATTAATCAATTTTATAAATATTTTGATATATTTTAAAAATAAATTATAAATAAATTATAAATAATTTCCATTTTAAATTATGAAATAAAATAAATCAAAATATTTAATAAATAAAATATAGAAATTGAAATAATAAATATTAAGATATTAATCAATTTTATAAATATTTTGATATATTTTTAAAATAAATTATAAATAAATTATAAATAATTTCTATTTTTAAATTTTGGGATAAAATAAATCAAAATATTTAATAAATAAAATATAAAAATTAGAATAATAAATATTAAGATATTAATCAATTTTTATAAATATTTTGATATATTTTAAAAATAAATTATAAATAAATTATAATTAATTTCCATTTTAAATTATGAAATAAAATAAATCAAAAAATATTTAATAAATAAAATATAGAAATTGAAATAATAAATATTAAGATATTAATCAATTTTATAAATATTTTGATATAATTTTAAAAATAAATTATAAATAAATTATAATTAATTTCTATTTTAAATTTTGGGATAAAATAAATCAAAATATTTAATAAATAAAATATAGAAATTAGAATAATAAATATTAAGATATTAATCAATTTTATAAATATTTTGATATAATTTTAAAATGAATTATAAATAAATTATAATTAATTTCTATTTTAAATTATGAAATAAAATAAATTAACACAAATTCCACTTTTCAAAATAATATTTTCCTTTTTTTTTGATTAAATTTAAATATTGAAAATTTAATTTTATCACATTTATTTAATAAAATTATTATTATTATTTGAAATTTTTTAGAGAATTTAATAAAATGATATTTTTATGAATAAATTCTGTTTCTAATGAAAATTGAAAAATTTTTTGATTTTTGTAATTTAAATAAATAAATCAATTTTTTGGTTTTGTTTTGTTCTTATTTTTATTAATAAATCAATTTTAATTTATTAAAAAAAAAAAGGATATTTTCAATTCAAATTAATTCAACAAAAAAAAAATTATTATTGAACATTTCAAAATTAATTTTTAAATTTAAGGAAAATTTTCCCTAAATTTCCATTTTGATTTTAAATCAATCTTAACAAAAAAAAATTTCAAAGAAAAAGAAAAAGAAAAAGAAAAAGAAATTATTTTTAAAAATTTTTTTATTTTCTTTTAATTCTTTTATTTTATTTTTAAAAATTTGAATTTTTGAATTTTTAAATTCTTAAATTCTAAATTCTAAATTATTTCTTTTTGAAAATTAAATTAATTCCAAATTTTTTTTATTTTTGATTTTGATTTAAATAATAAAAAAATAAAAATAAGAAGAAAAAGGAAAAAAATTTTTTTTTTGGAGAATTAAATTAAATTCCACTTTTTTTTTCTTTAAATAAAAAATAAAAAAAAAATAAAAAAAATAAAAAATAAAAATAACTCAAAAAAAATAAAAAAAAAAAAAAAAAATAAAAATAACTAAAAATAACTCCCGAGGCCGGGCTCGAACCGACGACATTTTGGTTAAAAGCCAAACGCTCTACCGACTGAGCTACCCGGGATTAATTAATTTAATTTAAAATTTAATTTATTTTTTTCTTCTTATTTTTTAATTTCATTTATCTAGGTTATTTATATATTTATTTTTATTTTTATTTTTATTCCATTTTATTTATTCCACTTTTTTTAATTATAATTATTTAGGATTAATTAATTTAAATTTAATTTATTTTTTTCTTCTTATTTTTTAATTTCATTTATCTAGGTTATTTATATATTTATATTTATTTATTTTTATTTTTATTTTATTTATTTCCATTTTATTTAATTATAATTATTTAGGATTAATTAATTTAAAATTAAATTTATTTTTCTTCTTATTTTTTAATTTCATTTATCTAGGTTATTTATATATTTTTATTTATTTTTATTTATTTTTATTTATTCCATTTTATTTATTCCACTTTTTAATTATAATTATTTAGGATTAATTAATTTAATTTTAATTTTAAATTTATTTTTTCTTCTTATTTTTAATTTCATTTATCTAGGTTATTTATATATATTTATATTTTTATTTTTATTTTTTTATTTATATTTATTCACTTTTTAATTATAATTATTTAGGATTAATTAATTTAAATTTAAATTTAATTTATTTTTTTCTTCTTATTTTTAATTTCATTTATCTAGGTTATTTATATATATTTTTATTTATTTTTATTTATTTATTCCATTTTATTTATTCCACTTTTTAATTATAATTATTCGGGATTAATTAATTAAATTTAAAATTTAAATTATTTTTCTTCTTATTTTTAATTTCGCATTTATCTAGGTTATTTATATTTATTTTTATTTTTATTTATTTTTATTTATTCCATTTTATTTATTTTTATTTATTTATTCCATTTTATTTATTCCACTTTTTAATTATAATTATTTAGGATTAATTAATTTAATTTAAAATTTAATTTATTTTTCTTCTTATTTTTAATTTCATTTATCTAGGTTATTTATATTTATTTATATATATATATTTATTTATTTTTATTTATATTCATTCCACTTTTATTTAATTATAATTATTTAGGATTAATTAATTTAATTTAATTTTAAATTATTTTTCTTCTTATTTTTAATTTCATTTATCTAGGTTATTTATATATTTTTATTTTTTTATTTTTATTTATTCCATTTTTAATTATAATTATTTAGGATTAATTAATTTAATTTAATTTTAATTTATTTTTCTTCTTATTTTTAATTTCATTTATCTAGGTTATTTATATATATTTATATATTTTTATTTTTATTCCATTTTATTTATTCCACTTTTTAATTATAATTATTTGGGATTAATTAATTTAAATTTAATTTTAATTTATTTTTCTTCTTATTTTTAATTTCATTTATCTAGGTTATTTATATATATTTTTATTTTTATTTTTATTTATTCCATTTTTAATTATAATTATTTAGGATTAATTAATTTAATTTAATTTAATTTATTTTTCTTCTTATTTTTAATTTCATTTATCTAGGTTATTTTATATATTTATATTTATTTATTTTTATTTTTATTTTTATTTATTTATTTTTATTCCACTTTTTATATTTATTCCACTTTATTTAATTATAATTATTTGGGATTAATTAATTTAAATTTAAATTAAATTTATTTTTTTCTTCTTATTTTTAATTTCATTTATCTAGGTTATTTATATATTTATATATTTATTTATTTTTATTTATTCCACTTTTTTTAATTATATTTATTCCACTTTATTTAATTATAATTATTTAGGATTAATTAATTTAATTTAATTTTAATTTATTTTTATTCCATTTTATTTATTCCATTTTATTTATTCCACTTTTTAATTATAATTATTTGGGATTAATTAATTTAAATTTAATTTATTTTTCTTCTTATTTTTAATTTCATTTATCTAGGTTATTTATATATTTATATATTTTTATTTATTTATTTTTATTTATTCCATTATTTTTATTCCATTTTTTAATTATAATTATTTAGGATTAATTAATTTTTAATTTAAAATTTAATTTATTTTTCTTCTTATTTTTTAATTTTCATTTATCTAGGTTATTTATATATTTATATTTATTTTTTTTATTTTTTATTTTTATATATTTATTTTTATTTTTATTTTATATATTTATTTTTATTCCATTTTATTTATTCCATTTTTAATTATAATTATTTAGGATTAATTAATTTAATTTAATTTTAATTTATTTTTCTTCTTATTTTTAATTTCATTTTTATCTAGGTTATTTTATATTTATATTTATTTATTTTTATTTTTATTTTTTTTTATTTATTTTTATTCCACTTTTATATTTATTCCACTTTATTTAATTATAATTATTTGGGATTAATTAATTTAAATTTAAATTAAATTTATTTTTTTCTTCTTATTTTTAATTTCATTTATCTAGGTTATTTTTTATATATTTATTTATTTTATTTTTATTTATTCCACTTTTTTTAATTATATTTATTCCACTTTATTTAATTATAATTATTTAGGATTAATTAATTTAATTTAATTTTAATTTTTGATTTTATTTTTATTCCATTTTATTTATTCCATTTTATTTATTCCACTTTATTTAATTATAATTATTTGGGATTAATTAATTTAAATTTAAATTTAATTTTATTTTTAATTTCATTTATCTAGGTTATTTATATATTTATATTTTTATTTTTATTTATTCCACTTTTTAATTATATTTATTCCACTTTATTTAATTATAATTATTTAGGATTAATTAATTTAATTTTAATTTAAATTTATTTTTCTTCTTATTTTTAATTTCATTTATCTAGGTTATTTATATATTTATATATATATTTATTTTTATTCCATTTTTATTCCACTTTTTATTTTTATTGAATAACGAATTTAATCCAAAAAAGTAAAAATAAAAATAATTTCAAAATATGAATTGTTTAATTTTAATTTTAATTTTAATTTTAATTTTAATTTTTAATTTTTAATTTTAATTTTAATTTTAATTTTAATTTTAATTTTAATTTTAATTTTAATTTTAATTTTAATTTTTAATTTTTTGATTTTAATTTTAATTTTAATTTTAATTTTAATTTTGATTTTAATTTTAATTTTAATTTTAATTTTAATTTTAATTTTGATTTTAATTTTAATTTTAATTTTAATTTTAATTTTAATTTTAATTTTGATTTTAATTTTAATTTTAATTTTAATTTTGATTTTAATTTTGATTTTAATTTTAATTTTGATTTTAATTTTAATTTTAATTTTAATTTTAATTTTAATTTTAATTTTAATTTTAATTTTGATTTTAATTTTAATTTGAATTTGAATTTTAATTTTTAATTTTAATTTTTAATTTTAATTTTAATTTTAATTTTGATTTTGATTATTAAATTTGTTAATTAATAAATCAAATAAATTTGGATATGTTTGATTTAATTGAAAATAATCAATTCCAATTTGAATTTCATTAATAATTTCTTGTGTAATTTGAATTCCTTCTTTAATTTTATTTGAATAAATCCAATATTCTAAATATTTGAAATGATTTATTACTTAATTCACTATAATCTGTAACTTTATTTGATTTATCTTCAGTTACAGATAAAAACATTCCTCGATATAATTCACTTCTCATTATTAATATTAATTTAGGAAATTTATATTTCTTTTCTTTTCTTTCAATTATAAAATCTTTTTCATTTTCATTTTCATTTTCATTTAAATAAATTCTTTTCATTGTTTCTTCAATTTTTTCATTGGAATTTATAATTTCTTTAATTTCTGAATATAATTTTGGATTTATTTTAGAATTATTTGAATAAATCATTTCAAATATTTGATTTGATTCTTTAATTGATTTTTTTGAAATAATTTCTTGAAGTTTTTCAATTTTATTTTGATTTTGATTTAATCTATATTTTAATATTAATTTATGAGCTTTGATTATTTCTCCATTTTTGGTTTTAAATGAAATATCACAAAATTCTTTTCTTTCAAATAATTTTATCAAATCTTCTTCAAGATTGGAAAAAGAAAAAGGAGAATAATAAATAAATGAATTTCGATATCCACAAGAAATATGATAACTAGAAATATCTTTATTAAATCTTAATTTAGGAAGTTCAATTTGAATTGGAATTAATTGACTCCGATTTGTCTTTCCAGTTCCTAATTGACCAAATAAATTACCTCCAAAACCAATTAATTTTAAATGGGAAGTTAAAATCAAAGTATGAGCATTTCCAACAGAAAAATCAATAATATAATCATTTTCGAATAAAGTTAATTTGATTTCAGTAAATTCATAACTTTTTTCAGCATGTTGGCCAAGTCCATTATATTCATAATTTCCACATGAATAAAGTTTTCTTTTTGGATTTTGATTTTGATTTTCATTTTCAATCAACATTATTGAATGAGTCGATCCACATTGAATATCAATTATTTTGCCTTTTGGAATATTTTGTAATTGTGTTAATTTTTGGATTTTTATTTTTCTTCTTGATTCTCCTAGTCCAAGTTGGCCAAATTTATTATTTCCGCATCCAAATAATTCTTGATTTGAATTTAAGAGAAAAATAGAATTCGAAGTATTTCCTGAAAATATTTTAGAAACATTTTTCATTATTAAAATTGGCTTTTGTGTTTCATTAAGTGTTTCAGAATCAAAACCAAGTTGACCATTTTGATTTGAACCAATTCCATAAGCATTTTGATTTGAAGTTAATAAGTAAATAGAACTGTGTCCAGAAACAATATCTTCAATTATTTTATCATTTGTATCTTCAATTAATGATGAAATATTGATAAATTCTTTTGGATTATTTGGATTAATATCTTTTCCTTTGGCAAATACATTTCCTTCTATTGTTAAAATAGCTTCATTTTGAAAACCAACAGTTACTTTTTGAATATTTTCTTCAATTTGGATTTTTGAAGGATTTTGTTTTAAATCATTTTCATTTAAATATTCTATTGCTTTTCCATTTTTGAAAAGGAAAATTATTGAATAA